GCTACCTCATAGGGTTGACATACAGATAAAGTTAAATCCATGCAAAAATACTTTGCACATTATAAAATGCTCTGCAGCATAAGTCATTCAATCATTCGGCATTTGCTCGTTACTTATCTTCTGCATGCCAGGCGCTGTGCGGAGTGTGAAGGGCCGTTTGCAGATTACATGGGTGGGGAAGAGTAGCAGCCTAATGGCCTTTCCCAGCCCTCAGCATGGTTCTCTGAGGCAGAGACAAGCCGTTGGCCCGGAAATCACACCTCTGTGCTGGTCCTGAAGACTGTTCTACTCTCAACACTTCTCTCGGGCTTCAGCTCCTGGGAGCCTTTCCTAGTGAATGGACCTTTGCAAGGAACACGGCTGAGTCAGAACTCCGGTACCTGATTCCCAGGCATGTTAGTCTGGGTTCTCTAGAAAAACTGATAAAAGTGAAGTGGCATCTTAAGTTGCTTAACCATAGAGCTGGGAGGACTATGGGGTAGAGCTGGGCCCCTTGTTAACTCTCTAGTCTTGACTTCCTGTTGAACTTTGTGGTAACTTCCAGGGGAGGGATGTGAATAAAGGGGGAAGCCATGTTGGGCTCGTCTCCTTTTTTGCACGTGGGTGGCTGGTTGAGACACTGGCCCGGGAGTGCGCTTGTATGCTTTCCCTGGTGGCTTTGTTTCTTTTTCTTTTTCCTGAATAAACCACTACTTTTGGTGGATTTACCTGGAGAATATTTCTGGCCAGTTGACAATATGTGCACAACATACATGAAAGGGTTTGTCATAGGGAATTGGCTCACATCATTATGGAGGCTGAGAAGTCCCAAGACATGCAGTCAGCAAGCTGGAGACCCAGGAGAGCCGATGGTGTAAGTTCCAGCCCAAATCCAAGTGTGAAGGCAGGAGAAGACCAGTGTCCCAGCTCCTAGACATGCAGAGAGAGGGGCTTCTCTCCTAGTCCACCTTTTTGTTCCAATCAGGCCCTCAGGGGATTGGGTGAGGCCCACCCACATTGGGGAGGGCAATTTGCTTTCCTCAGTCTACTGATTCAAAGGTTAATCTCATCCAGAAACACCCGCACAGACACACCCAGAATAATGTTTGACAAATATCCAGCCGGATACTCCAGGGCCCATTCAAGCTGACAAAAAAAAAAAAAAAAGTACCATCACACCAGGGTTGATGTTCACGTACAACATTCAAGTTTACTAGGCAGCTTCACCTGCTGGGTCTCATTCAGCTCCATTAACGACCCAGTAAGGGTCTCGTTACCCTTCCCTGTCATGTAATGCTGATGTCACAGGCTCACCAGCCTGGCTGTTCGAAGCAGGTCATGTTCACCTTAAACCCAAATCTCCATGCGGGAGCCTCTTTCCTCTGGGAGACAGGAAGCCCGTCCCTTCCCAGATCCCACTTCTCCAGCACGTGAGAGTCTGTCTTCTGCCTCCAGTACCCTGGTGCTCTCGACTCTTCCACCCCTGTCCTTAGTCAGCAGGAAGCTTTAAACAAAGTTGTCATGTAGCTGAGAGTTGTCTGTGGACTAGATGTCATCAGCATTTCCCCAAAGCCTGAATGGAATCATGCCAAAGGGAGCTGGGGCTCAACACACAGACCTGCCTTGCTGTCCTCAGTGGATTGTGATGCACCGTGAGGACGGGACAGGGCAGTCGCAGGTGGCAGCAGGCGGCAGCGCTCCTGAAGACACCTCTGCTCCTGTGGTGTCTCTCTGGGTCTCATAGGGCCACAGTGCACGGCTTTTACATTTAATAAGCCTTTGTCATTTTAATAATACTGATGAATCAGGGCACTCCTGGGTACTTCTGTTTATTTAAAACCCATTGTGAGGTGTTCTATTACAGCCTGTCAGAGGGGAAATGTGAATTTATTAATTCAAATATTATAACATCCTCATGCTGAGCTTAGAAAATGGGCTCCAATCACAACGTTTCTCAAGCCCACATTTCAAACAGTGCTTGCCCTGCCTGGCATCTCAGCTACTGGTGTACATATCTGGTAAATGTCTTTTGAGGCTGTGTGTCCCCCAGGCCTAGCATGGTGTCCAGCACATGGTAGGTGCTTGGTTCCTGTTTCTGAAGTGGAATGGACTGGAACTCATGCTGGGAGGGTAGCCACACAGCCACACGCACTCTGAGAAGGATGCCCAGACACAGCCAGGGGTGCTGTTCCTTCAGCAAACAGTTGCTGAGCACCTAGTATGTGTCTGGTCTATGCTAGACACAGGGAGTATAGGACTGGCTCCGGCACAGCTCTTTCCTCTAGAGAGCTCCCAGCCCAGTGGGCGCCACAGCCAGAAACAGCCAAGCAGAGTGCATCTTGAGAAGCACTGGACAGAAGAGGGAAGAAGGCCACAGGGACGCTGAGGAGGACACGGGTGGCCTGGCCTCAGGGATGCACTCAGTACCAGGGGTTTGTCGGGCAGGGATTGGCACAGGACCGCACAGCAGACTTCCATAGCGCAGCACTTCCACTCTGATTGGCTTTCTCTGCATTTTTTCCCTCAGGGCCTGTGCCAGCAGCGAGACAGAGAGTGAAGCCGGAGACATCATGGACCAGCAGTTTGAAGAGATGAACAACAAGCTCAACTCGGTGACTGACCCCACGGGCTTCCTTCGGATGGTTCGTCGTAATAACCTCTTTAACAGGTACATGTGGGCTCTGTCCCCAGGCCCAGTGCAGAGCAGGGTGCCCCGGGCACAGATAATGTGCTTTTGGCTGGTGCTCCAGCTGGTGGGGCTCTGGTCCTGTCATGCATTTGCAGAAGTGAGCGTGACACTACCAGGGCCCTGTGCTCCTCGGGACCTTGCTGTCACAGCAGCACCTCTGGGTCAAGTGAGACGACAGTGCAGACTTGATGGGACGATCTGCATTTGGCTGGGAGGGGAGGCCCAGAGGACGGCTGGCCACTTCCTCCCACAGTCTTGGAGCTGTTTTCCCAAACATCAGGCAGGCCAGACAGAGTGGCTCTGCGTACGTACTTCTTTGCCAGCTTCTGCCTCTGACCCTTAGGTCAGGTGCCTGTGTTGACCTTCCTGGCCTGAGGCTGAGGGAGGCCAGCGAGAGTGGGGATGCCAGCAGTGCTAGAGGGAGCACTCATCCAGCCCCAGGCCCCCCGGTCTGCCCTGAGGCCCCATCGCCCCATTACGTGACCAAGGCCCTTAGTGACTTCCAGATGAGTTGAGATTCAAATTGCCCACCAACACACCCCTGCATCTTTTAATCATGGGTAATAGCCACGCTACATCCAGAAAAATGGGAGGTGGTTGAGGTTGAGGGATACCTGTCCCACTGTCGTTTGGCTCCCTGGCAACAGCAAAGCTCCACATTTGGGGAGAAAAACATTGTGGATGCACTCAGGTCCTTGCCACAGCCTGGCCTGATCAGGCAGCCGGTTGACCCTGGCACACAGGAGGGACGTGATGGTGCCCTGGGTGAAGGCAGCTCTGCCTGGCAGCCCTGCTGTGCGGGACACTGTGTGCCCAGCCTGTTCCTACTCCAGGCCCTGGTTTCCTCATTATTATGTTTCCTTATCGTGTTGTCAGGGTGACAAATGTGTGTTTACTTCCCCAGGGGTGAGCTGATCGGGAAGAGATCCAAGGGCCAAGGGTGTAGGAACTGGCAGCTTGGTTGAAAGGAGGCCAGAACTTTTAGCTGGTTCACCCCCAGTTCCTCCTCCTTCCCTAACCCCTTTAAAGGTGCACATCATGTGGGGACATGACCCGGTGCAAGGAAGCATGGGGGTGGGCCTGGACTCACCCTCCTCTGCCAGCTCCTTGGCCTGTGAGGCGAGTGATTCTCAGCTCTGCCAGGTGATGGGATTCGTGGTGGTGAACTAGAGTGCAGAGAGCTCAGCGCTCAGGTTCTGGCCTTGCCCCATGCCAGCTGTGGGTCACTGGGCAAGCGGTTTCACCACGGTCAGGCCCAGTGTCCTCGTCGCTGAAACAGGGACAAGCTTCCTACTTTGCAGGCTTCCCTTAATGGGGGAATTAAAGGAGCTAACATCTAAATAACACACTGACAGGCTTCCTAATGCACAGAAGGCACCATACCCAGGTGGCTTTGTACCGTTTTTCGTCGAGTAGGAAGGACGGTGCTAAACTTGAATTACTAGGATAATGTGAGTGGATAAACTTGGGAAGGGATGACATTTGTATGCACTTGTGCAGCAGGTGTTGGCACCTGGGGTTGCGGCCTCACCTGCCCTTCTTCCTCCTGTCCCACCTCATGTCCTTTACACGAGAGTGCCGAAGGCAGGCCATCAGACAGGTGTCCATGCTGACCTGGGCACAGGTGCGCCAGCAGTCAGGAGCCCCTCCTCTGGGTACCATGGCGAGAAAGGGTCAAACCAGGTGTGCCTGATATCCTAGCTCTCATCCCTGGATGGGAGATGGTGTGAATTTTGGATCATGGAGTTACTCCGTTTGGGAAAACGTGTCCTTCCAAGCAGCTCTGAGGTAGGTCCTATGAGCATAGTACTCCGGAAAAATCCATTGGTTCATTTAAACAGTATCAGCTGTGCCTGCAGCCAGGCTGAGGACTGGGCCAGCCCCGAGGCTAGGTGGGGAGCCACAGGCCTCACCGCCTGGCTGCTTTGCACCCAGCTCCCTCAGCAGGGCCTCCCCGGGCTCAGGGCATCAGGCCTGCCTCTAGGAAAGCGAAAGGGGTTGGAAGTAGTCTCTGCAGACCCTTCTAATCTTGACCTTCTAGAGGCTTCTGAGGGCAGATTAGATGAGGGGAAACGGCTTCAATTTTTCAGCTTTCAAGGCAGAAGGCGGTAAGGCCTTGGACAGATTCACGCCATGTGCTCTCTGCCACTTCCTGGAAAGCCCAGGAAGAGGGGGGCTCTGGCCTCCATCCAAGGGGAGCAGAGCTACTGGGGGAACCATGAAGGCAGAGGCATCCTTGCAGTCAGAATGGTGCGGGCCCTTGCAAACTTCCAGTCCCGCCTCGCGCCTCATAGCTGAGGGACACACACAGGCCGGGGAGGGTGGGGACCTGCCCAGGAGCGGTGCCAAAGCTGGCTTTTAGTTGTGCCTCCCAGCTGCCCTGCCTGCCTGTGCCTTCACACCTCGAGGCCTGCCAAGTGTGCTCCCCTGCCCCGTGTAGGGGCCCAGCCTTCCTTCCCGGCCCCTTCCATGTCCAGGGATCTCGGCTCCCAAGTGCTGCTTTGTTACTGAATGGAACAGCTAAGCAGTGGCTTTTCTGCAGACTCCTGATATTGACTGGGGCTGGCAAAGCATTTGTCCCCTGGAGGCCAGGGAGGTGAGGTGGAAGCAGCCATGTGCACAGGGCCTTGTATGCGCTGGAGCAGCACCAGCTCCCCTCTTCAGGGCTCTCCAGCTCCATGATTCATGGGTTCCTCTACCCTTTTGTTCCGCGCGGTTTGCTGGACTGGTTTGGCGAGGAGGCTGCCGCAGTTGACGCAAGCAAGGGAGCCTTGGCTTTAGAGATTCCTCTCTTGCCACTGCAGGACTTGGTCTTTGTTCTGCCTTTGTTTTCGAGTTTCTACAACCATTATGTTTCTTCTTGCCTGTGCACTTGGGCAGAAAATACATTTGCATGTCGAGCCCAGAGCAGGTCCCATTAGTGAGGAAAAACAAGGATTCTTTTCTTGTTTAGCACCCTGACCCTGGGTGGGCCCCACGGGGCAGAGCAGCAGCCCCCAGAAAGGCCTGTGCCTCTTGTCCTGCAGGATTCTTTGGAAGTTATGCTGAGGGCTAGAAGGTTGTGTGTGTGAGTGTGTGTGTGTACACCTGGGGCAGTTAGCAGATCACATTTGCTGCAGAAAAGGGAAGAAGAATGGGACAGGCTTTCAACTGCATCTGGATTCTAGGTCTTAGGGCCACACCTTGGCACTGAAAGTGCGTCCATCTAGCATCAATTAGGACCAGTATCCCAGAGCAATGTTCTGACTTCCTGTTGGGGCTTTCCTGTTTCCCAGAGATGAGTGGCTAGAGCTGAAACAGAGGACAGAAAAGTATTAAGTCTCCCTATTCTAAGGAGCAGTGCCACACCAGGCCCAGAGCCCTCCCTCAGGTCTCTGCACTAGCACCTCAGCCACACCCCCGCCTCTAAAAGGAGACTGGGTTGGGAGATCGGCAAGTGAGACTCCTCAGCTGGTTCGAGGTCCTCCAAGAGAATCAGTCACAAAGATGGGGGAGCCTGCAAGAAAAGGAGGGACGCGTCGCCATGCCATGGAACCAGCCTGCTGTGACTGGTACAGGGAGAAGCAAGACTTAAAGAGAGAGCCCGCCATGGTGTGGTCTGCGTGCCCGCATCTAATGTACAGATGTATGCCGTTCCCAGTGGGTAGGTCACACGGGCTCAGCCACTTGCTGTTTCCCCACCAAAGAGTCTGCCTGCTGGGAAGAGGAACTCGGCAGTAGGAGTTATGGGGTATGTAACCCGTGGAAGAACTAGGGGGACAGGGGAACCAGAGCTGGCTGCCTGTATCAGGGGGCGCCCAGGAAGGCCCCTGCAGGGGGACACATGGAGGGGTGACAGCAGTGCTTGCTCTCCCCTCCTCCACCCCCTCTGCCCTCAACACCAGAGTCAGGCCTGACAGTGGGGAGGGGGGAGCCCACCCTCCCCTCTAAGTCCACGAGCAGAAGCCTGGCCTGCAGTGGAGCTGGGTGGGGATGGGGTGTGCCCTGCATGGGAGGTTGGGGAACAGCAGTGACTGGAGAGAAATAGACCTGTCCCCGCAGGGTCAGCCTGGTTAGGAAGCTGGAGCCCATGCAAGCCACTCGTGTGCGCGTGTCTGTGTGGGCGCATGGTTATGGTTCTTGATAAGCATCCACATCGTGCGTGCCTCCAGTGCCGCCCTGAAGGAGCTACAGCAATGCCGCCCAAGTCCGCTGTGGGCCGGGAGGCCCTGTACAGACCGTGTTGCATGTGTGTGCCCTGTATTCCTAAGTCTAGGCGTTTTTCTGTGGTGAGGCACAGAGTGGAGGGGAGAAACCCTGGGCTCTGGGCTCTGACAGACCTGGACTTGAAACCTGGCTCCAGCTTTTATTATTATAGTGGGTGACCTTGAGCCTTTTATTGTTCCATCTGGAAAATGGGAATAATGATGCCTGCGGATAGAGTCGTTATGAGAATACAGTAAATGCGATGATGACTAGGCAGACCCTGCTGTGTTGTAAGTATTGGGTTGTCGGAAAAGTCATGGCGCATTTTCGCAACGAAAAAGAGAAAAAAATACATCATGACTCTTCTGACAACCCAATAAATAGTTTCTTTCTCTCCCCGCTTGGGTCTGAGGTTTCTATGGCACCGAAGGCCCCTTTTGGGGGGGGGGGGTGAATCAACCACTTTTTGAATCAAATCTTTGCCCTACAACCTGATTGAGTAGCTTGATTCTCTCTCCTCCTGCATCCTGTCTCTGGCCTCCAGATACCAGAAAGCCTTTGAATAAATACAGACTGATGACCTGATTGGATATCAGTTACAGCCATAGCCCTGGCCTTGAGTCTTGAGGTTCCTTACTCCATTCCGGCTGGTGTCCTGCCAGCCCTTCCTCTGCCCCCTGTCGGTAGCTCTGTGGCTCCAGGCCAGAGTTCTGTCTGCTCTTCCACTGGCCCAACAAGGAGGTCGAGAGTTCTCTCCAGCCCTGACCTGGGCAGCCCTCACAGTGGCGATTCTG